TTTGGTAAGGTGGATGACAAGTTACCTTTCATCAAAGGGAAGCACATGTTTGTTTGCATAGAAACACAGTTGGAAGTACGTATTTGTTTGCATAAAAGAACATGATCAATATAGCAGCCACCAGTTATATACAATAGGATATATGCTTTTGGATAAACACCGCAGCTTTTTTTTTTTTAATTTCATTTAAAGATTTTTTTAGCTTACTGATCGAAGAATTCCATTTTGTTTTAATATTTAAAATAAGCCTAAGCTCTTTTTCTAAATCATAAGTACAAATATTTTGAAGGGTACCATTTTTATAATACCATAATAATAATTTAAATGCATTTCCTCATGAACAGAAGTAATAGTTTTTTCATTCCAGTATTCTTCACTGTCATTAGCGTTATCAGGATCAGAACAAAGTTCTTCATTTTTATTTTTCATTTAATAGTTCCACTCTAGCTGTTTCTACTGCAGAACCTTTTTTCTTATAAAGAGCATCACATAATGCAAGATGGGTTCTATGACAACAGCAAATTTAATACGTGACTCTAATTTCTCGTCTTTTTTTTTTTATAATTGAAGGTCACCACGTATTTAACAGCTCTTTTTGAAGGGGTTGAACCATTTATTCTAATCATTTCAAGATCATGAAAAAATTTATCGAGTGTACATTAAGACACAAATGCCTTCTGATTCTACCAGAGGTCTACTCATCAAGAGAAATTGACTTTTCTCCAATAATTTTTTTTTGCTGAAGTTTTCGAGTAATATTTTATTTTAATTGAGCAAGTTTAATTCATAACATGTCATCAGGGATTATAAGCCTTCATAACATGTCATCAGGGATTATAAGCCTTCATAACATGTCATCAGGGATTATAAGCCTTCATAACATGTCATCAGGGATTATAAGTTTTTAAGCAATCATTTTATATAATGTAACTATTAACCAAAAATGCAAAAGGAAGTTGTAAACGAACTTGTAATACTTCTTCAGCTTTGTTACCTATATACAGTAGGCAGCAATAATTAGCAGCATATTATTTGTCTTTTCTTAAACAATTTTGATCGGAAATATTTTATGCATGTGCTCTAAATGAAATAACAAACTTGAAGTTGATGAATGGAATTAAAGTTTGAGTGAAAAATGTTTGCACTTGAATAATGATTTTGCTTAACTTTCTAATAAAATAAATCCCAGCATCAGAACAATTTTTCTCTCCAGACTACAATGTAAATGGCAATTAGGCTATTGTTTTGTATATGGATTATATGTTTAAATTTCTCATCGGAAAAGTATCGTGACGCAGTGTCACAGTTCAGGCTCAGAACCAAGCGGCCCGATGTTCAATGCTGGCCCTGCCCGCATAAGAAACATTGGTAAGGAAAGAAGAGTAAACTTTCTAGCTAAGCGGACCGGACCTTCTGGAAACCTTGGAAATCCTAGCCAAAAAGTCCTCGGATTTTGAAACAAAAAAAAAAAAAAAAAAAAAAAAAAAAGGAAAATTTGTTATCTTTAAACACTTTTTAACTAATGCGTCTTAATTTAATGGAGATCAAATCTGAAATTTTTTTTGTTCTTTTAGGATCCTATAGGACTTTTTGACAAGGGAGGCATCTTAAAAAACGCTAAATGGTTATAATAACACTAAAATATAGACAAAAAATATATATACCACCACTACCCAGCCAGCACAAACACGTGTTTTAGAATCTAAAATTTTTTTTTTTTTTTTTAAGTTTACATTTGTTGTCATAGTAAATAAATTACTTTCACAAACACAAACAAGGTTTCTGAAAGAAGATCGTACACCTTTAGACATCTAAATTCAGATAACTATAAGACATCTAATTGTATTTATCTTTGAGATGACGAACAATAGCTGTCTTAAGCTGTCTAAAAGATGACTACTAATAGATGTCTTATATTTATCTGAATTTAGACATCTAAAAGTGTTAACATTTTAGATGCGAAAAAAAACGTCTAAAAGACGTGTTTGTGCCGGCTGGGTTATTGTTTGTAAGTACGATCTTTTTTTTTTTTTAATTTTATATTTCAATAACTTGTGTAATATCTAAAATAAACATAATATTATAATTTGATATTGATATTTATGTTATATATGTTTTATGAATGTAGAAAATAAACTCAACTTTTTTTTATAATTTGATATAAAATAATGTATCATAGTAAAGTTATATTTAAGATTAAATTTGAATTCAAATAGGCCAGGAATAAAGTTAAAACTAATAAAGTTATTAAAATATTCATCTGCAACAAGAGCTTTGTATAACAAGATAGTTGCGCGAAGCGGAAACAAGTAGATATATTTTAGAAATTCTTTTACTTATTGAGAGTTTGACTTAGATACAAGAAATTTGATATCGTCGCTTACATGATTTCTTTTTGTCATAGTCGTCAACATAAAGATGATGTTGACGATTATGTTCCGGTCACTTAGTGTTGTTTCTTTTGTTTTATTTATAAAACGCTTATTAGCAAATTTCGCACTTCACCTTTTTTTAAAAAATAAGGTTCTAAAGAGTATAAATAACAAATTGCATTAAAAATTACAATTACAAAAATAATTTATAAAATATCTTATTATTTTCAGAAGTATTTTGTAATAAATATAATTCATTTTTTCTAAAACACATTTAACCCATATGACAATTCGAAAGACATTCATGTGAAGAATCAGGGCAAATTATAACAGAGCTTCTTTTTAAAACAGTATCATGGCAACGTGTTGTGATTCCACATGACATTTTAATATTACTGTGAACTGCAGTTGCATTGACATTACTATTGAGCAGTGTTCTACTGCTTAAAATACTTCCATTCTGATTAGAAAAGTTGTTTTCCCAGTCTTTATCCTGCAAAGAATTTATTGATGGTGTATTGGCCTTTGTTTTATCACAGCATAATATTGAAGGATTTTCTACCGAAGTAGAATTTACAAAAGTGTCTGAATATAAATTTAATGAGCTTGTGGTACAAGTACAAGTACTTTCTCCAAGAATTTCCAAATTACCTTGGGTAGCAAGGTATGATAATAATCTTAAAGAGGAATCACTATCGTCAATAGTTATGTAAGAGTTATGTAAAAGATTCACAAATTCAGAAGGACTACTCATAGGCAACGTTTGTGGGACACTGTTAGGAGCTGTTTTATATTGGAAGTATCCTTCAGTATGCATAGGTTTACAGAATGGATGATATAAGAAATCTGAAGTATTTTTATCTTCTTGTGTGCTTATAATCTGGTGTTTCAAAGTGTCTATGGAGTTTTTCACATTCATTTCATTAATGAGATCTGTGTTATTATTGATTTTTGATTCTTCTCGCTTAGGTTTCCATTTTTTCTCTGTGGAATTAAGTAATGGTTCATCTGATTCTTGAAACTTAGATAATTTGTCAGAATTGTTTTCTTCGTTAAAATTTGATTGATTATTTTCGAAGTTATTCGATCTCATTTTAGTTAAAAATGTTTTCTCATATATTTGATCTGGAAATGAACCATCAACTGAATCTTTATGCTTTTGAGTGTGCATTTTTAACCCTAATGACATAAAAACTACTTAAAAAAAAGGAAAAAAGATTATAAGATAAACATATATATATATATATATATATATATATATATATATATATATATATATATATATATATATATATATATATATATATATATATATATATATATATATATATATATATATATATATATTATCAACAAAATATAATTTTTTATTTTTTTTAATTATATTTTGTTGTTATAATAACAAAAACTACTGATGATATATTGAAAGGCCTCTAGTGCTAAAATTTATAATTAGAGTAATTTTTGTAAAATTAAAAGAAAATATTTTGTTTATTGTTTATTTTGTTGACTAATTTTTTTAATTATATATATATATATATATATATATATATATATATATATATATATATATATATATATATATATATATACATATATATATATATATATATAATATTAAACATTAGCTAAGCAGTATGACATCAAACATTGACTGACTATCTAGGTAGAACATGCAAGAGAGTGCTGCTACATCGATTTTGAGTTGGGACAGGAATTGTTTTTATTTAATTATTATTCGTTTTTTCTTTTTGTCCAAAATAATCATTTTTTGAAAAAAAGTAAGCAAAAAAAATTGGCAATGTGTATATATATATATATATATATATATATATATATATATATATATATATATATATATATATATATATATATATATATATATATATATATATATATATATATATATATATGTATAACTACATATACTAATGTGACTCACCATACTTTGAAGCAAATACCCTTTCACAGCCTTTTTCATTGCATGAAAATGGTTTTTCTCCGCTATGAGTACGTTGATGAGCTTTTAAATGATGGGATGCTAAAAAAGCTTGACTGCAATCAATCTCTTTACATTGGAAAGGTCGATCTTGTGTGTGTATTCGAACATGTTTGGTTAAATCACTTTTAGTTGTGAAACCTTTAATGCAATCTTGAAAATAACAAATAAATAGAGTACCATCATGAACACGTTGATGAGCACGAAGTCGATATAAAGTATTAAAGCTTTTTGCACAACCATTGTTATCACAAGAGTATGGACGCTCTCCTAAAAAAGGAAGCCAAATGATAAAGTAGACAAAATCTTTTGTTTTATAATACTTTTGCCACAAAAATTTATTATTCTAATTTACCAGTATGATGTCGATAATGAACTTTAAAACTGTATGCAGAAACAAAACCTTTTTCACAACCTTCATAATCACAATAAAAGCTGAATTTGCCAGAGTGAATTTTTTGATGTGTTTTTAGATTTCCTTTTGTTTTGTAAGTTCGTCCACAACCATTAAATGTACATGAAAACTGCTTTTCTTCATCTAAAAGGTTACTATGATTTGGGGTTTCCATAATATCTTATAATATTTAAAGTATTCAAATACAATAGTATTGTATTACTGAAATATTAAAATAAACTATTCGCATATTTATAAGTGTATATCTATTAAGTATGTTAATAATTTACTATATCATTATGCGAATAATTTTTAAGTGTGTAAACAAACAGGTTTAGGACACAAAAAGCCATAATTAGCAAATTTTTAATTATAAGTGTGTTTGGATCCTTAATTAATGATTAAATAAAAATAGCCAACAAAAAGTTTCTCTCTCTCTCTCTCTCTCTCTCTATATATATATATATATATATATATATATATATATATATATATATATATATATATATATATATATATATATATATATATATATATATATATATATATATATATATATATATATATATATATATATATCTAATGTACCTAACTGAATTAATATTTATTAGACTTTAATATATTTGTTAACATACAATTGATGTACTAATTATAATAAACTATACTTTAACAAGTCTTTTACAACATTTTATCTATATATTAAAATATAAACAATAATTTTTTTTTTAAGTTTGTTGGAAATACGTAGAAAATTTTTTTTTAATCTTTGTAGGCTCCTAATTAACAAAAACAACACAAACTTATCCAAGATTAAAAAATTTTATTACATTAACTTCATTATTTTATTCAATAAATTCACAGAGCTTCCATAGATGTTTTTATTACTTTGTATAGAACTTGTGTGACACTTTCTAAAGCCGCGCAACTATCAACATTTCTCGAGCTTCACGCTAAACGAGCTTAAACGCTAAACTTTTTTTCATGAAACTTCTGATTTAAAAAAAAAAGTTTTGCAGTCAATCGCAAACTTGAAAAAGGGAACATGTTATGTTTTTGCAGGATGTGTCCCATTTTTCAAGTTAGTGATTCATTTATAGAATGAAAAATAAATTATTTTAACATTTTGCAAGTAAAATGAATTTATAAATAAAAGAAATTCTTCTATATCTATATTTTCTTCATTGAACACTTTCGAACAAAACTTGTCACCTATGACAATGTAGATCCTTTATTAATATAGTTACTTTAAAATATATTTTATTTTTTAAAAAAAAAAAAAAAACCAAAAAAAAAAAAAAAAAAGTTATTATCTTACTGCATTAATTTTAGTTTTTTCACAAAAAATTTTTTCTTATATTACCCTAAAAAAGCTTTTGCTAAAATTTTTAGTTTTCTTATTTTTCATATTTATTTTTGTCTTTGCGATTTCAGCCCAATATTGCGAGAATAAGTTAAGCAAATATTTTTTCAGCAAAATTTTCTCTAGAAAAAACATCTTTCATTCCAGGAGATAAACTCCGAAGATCTTTGCACACATTTTGTACGATTTAACCACTCGTGGTACATAACTCTACAAAATAAACATATTATTTCAGAAGTGTTTAACAAAACATTCTGCTGACAATTTTCTTATTCCAACATCTTTACTCACAGTTTATTAGAAGATATAGAAGTTTTTTCATTAAAAATATTTTTGTATAATTGTGTTTGCAAGTATTTGTACTATAACTCAAATACGTTATAACTGTTTAAATAATTTATTGCAAGATGTATATTTTATTTTATTTTGAGATGTAAAAGCCTGCACGGCTTTTACATTTCATTTGCTATTATTTTTACTCTATAAACATAACAAAATACCGTGTGTGTTTTTTTTTTGTTTTTTTGTTTTTTGATCCTTTTTCTACAAGTGTAAAACGTATAAAAATAAGGGAGTTTTAAGTTTATATGACCATATCTTTAGAGTGCCAAAATATACTTTGAAATTCGAAATCTACTTATAAATATTCCCACGGTTCACCCATGCAGCTCTTTTATCCAAACTGTGTGGTTCTTCAGCCTGTCCAAATTATATATTTATAATTTGAACATGCTATATGTTATATATAAATATATATATATATATATATATATATATATATATATATATATATATATATATATATATATATATATATATATATATATATATACATTAATTTTATTGAAACAAATGAAAAGTTTATTTTATTAAAGTAAAAAAATTTAATATGATAATGAAACGGTTTGATTTTAAATAGGATTATACAAAAACAAAGTACAAATTATTTATATATATAGAGCAGCCGTGGCGCAGTGATTAGAGTTCTGGCTCAGAACCCAGAGGTCCGAGGTTCGACGCCAGCTCTAGCCCAATAAGTGACATTGATACGGAAGGAGGTATGAACTTCCTGTTAAATGCTCTCCCGCGGTGCTCTATGATAAGACCGTAAGGACTTCTGGGAGCACCTAAATACACACAAAAAAAAAATAATAATACTGCCGGTGTCGTACAAATTTATTTTCCCCATAAATTTATTTCCGTGGCGCAAGTTTCGGTTACTAAGGAAATAATATTACGCGGCTTACGCATAAAATTGTTTCCCGACATAAATTTATTTCCGATGTGGAAATAAATTCGCAGAACATTCTACAACAACTGAATATGCAATAGTAATCAAAAATTTACTGTGGGTGGCCATTGAAATAGGGCCATTACGTTTTTTGTTATATTGTCAGCATTAATTCACCTTTCAAACGTAAAGTTCACAATTTTTCATAAGTATTTACGACATTATTACAAATTATTGTGTAGGCAACACTATTTTGTTGCTAGCAATACTGTTTTTTGCATGTTTTGACAAGTAAAACCGTGAAATTGTGTTCAGTTACCATTTGTAGATTGCCGAAGCTTGTTGTGTGTGTGTGTGTTAAGGATCTTTCTTCAAATTTATTTTTAACCGACTATTTTTCAAAATTTTAATTTTTTAAGTGTTTTATTTAGTGAAAGACTTCTTTGAAAGTAGTTTTTCCAAAAATATACATTATTTCAACTTTTTTAATTTTCTTTTACATATTTTGTAGTGTGTTTATTTTTCTTTTAGATTTTTTAAAGTTTCTGACAATGGGTAAAAAAAAAAGATGTTAATGTTTCTAAAAAAAGTGAAATAATGTCACTTTTAAGGAACACCAACTATTCTCAACGAGAAATTTCAAGCAGAATTGGCGTTTCTAGGCAGACCGTGCAAAGAATAGCATCAAAAATAAAAAATGCCGAAAACCCTATATCCAAACTCCGTAAAAACTGTAAAGGAAAACGCCTTACAACGCCAAGGTCTGAGAGAATTATCAGGAATATTTGCTTGGAGAATAGAAAGAAACCCAGAAAAATAATCACAACATTGATTAAAGATGCTGGAATTAATATTAGTGATCGCACAGTCAGGAGACGCTTAGATGAGTTAGGCTTTAAGTGTTACCGTCCTGCAAAAAAACCAAAATTAACGCCTGCCATGAAGGATAAATAACTGAAATGGGCTATAAAACACCGCAATATGACAACAGATGATTGGAGAAAGGTCTTTATTTCTTAAACATGTCATGCTTTGCTTTATTTCTCGATTTTCTTTAGATTAATGAAAGACTAACATTTTTTGAAACATTTTTTGAAACATTTGTTTTCAGGTGTGCTTTTCTGATGAATCCACGTTTCAGATCTTGGACGACAAAGCCTCATTTGTGCGACGAAGGGTGGGTGAAAAATTTAATCCAGACCGCATTATCGAGACAGTAAAATATCCATTGTCAATTATGATGTGGTCCGTTATATGTGGTAAGGGTACGGGAAGGCTTTACATAGTGCAAGATACAATGAGGCAGGGCCAATACAAAGAAGTTTTGGAGCAAAAGCTCATTCCTCAAGTCTCGGAATGGTTTCCAGATGGCAAATTTATATTTATGCAAGATTCTGCCCCATGCCATACGGCAAAATCCATTAAAAAGTTTCTTGGAGAGAAAAAAATTCCACTGCTGGATTGGCCAGGAAATTCCCCGGATCTTAATCCTATAGAAAGCCTGTGGGAGCTATTAAAACGGGAGGTTTCTTCAAAACAACTGGTGACAAATAAAACCCAGCATATTGAAAAACTAAATGAAGGTTGGCATCGGAATTCTCACATAAAAGAATTGGCACAGAAATGCATTGACAGCATGCCACGGAGATAATTAAAAATTTCAAAAAAAAGTGTAGAAAACTCAATGGATAAACCATCATATAACTCTTTTAAAGTTTTGTATGATTTGATTCATCGCTAAATACTATTTTTTTAAATATCATTATCACTCATATTAAAATTTTTTTTGCAAAATTGAAGCCGTTTGAGCCGAACTGATCGTTTAAGCATTGGTTTTTTAGCAGCAAGCATAGTTTACGATCAATTAATCTTCTATTTATTGTCTGTCTTGAGATGTTATTTTTAAGAGTTAGATTTATTTCTTGAAAAATTTGTTTAGCACTATACTTTTTCTGGCAATTCTGTATGTACTATTTCTCTGAACTAGAATTCTCTGAACTTGCATCTTTTGTTTAATAAAAGCTAGTGTAAAAAGTATTATATACTTATTATTTATATAATAAACAAACACACACACACGTGTGTTTGTTTATTATATAAATTATATATATATATATATATATATATATATATATATATATATATATATATATATATATATATATATATATATATATATATATATATATATATATATATATATATATATATATATATATATATATATATGTATATATATATATATATATATATATATATATATATATATATATATATATATATATATATATATATATATATATATATATATATATATACATATATATTGAATGGATTCTAGTAAAATAACTAATAATAAAAAATTGAAATTTGCCTTGGCTATTCTGTTCGTAAATTAGACATACAATGTCTAACTTACTTAACGAAGTGCACCAACTAGAAGGTAAGCCATAGGACTTTGCACCTCATATCTAAGTTGTAATAAACTGTAAAAGTATTGTTATTGACAAAAAAAAAAAGCCCTTTACTTCTGGATTCTCTCCTTTATATTTTTGTTACTAATTGCATAACTGCAATTATTATTGCAATAAAAATATAATAATATAGTGATATATTCAAAAATATCATGATATTATTATATTGT